CCCCTCAAGCTACCCTGAAAAAGCATTTTGCAGCTTTACATTGCACATCAACTATTATTCTACCTCTATTTAGTGAGCGCAAAACAGAAGATTCTGGTGTTGGGGGTTGGTCTTTAGTGCAGATAATCCTGGTGCAAGATAGGTTAACTTTACATTAGAGAGTGTAAGTGCAAAGGCAGTGTTAGAAGTAGTGTAAAAGGGGCATAGAGGTAGTCATTATATTCAGAAACAGGTGCTCTGTAAAAAAATACCCTTCCTAAAAATGACTGAGTATTTGACTGAGTATATTGAAAGAGGTGATGAATAATTGTACCAAACTGCTTTAATTTCAACTCACAGGAAAATGTTTGCTGGTACTTAAGCCATCATGCAACTGTTTGTTTTAACATAGCAAACCATTAGCAGTACAAATACGTCTTGCTAAAGCTGCTACACAGAACATATTAGGAACATCTTAAATTCGCTGCATATCCAATTTAATAAACATAAAACTGCAAAAACAGTTTTATAATTTAATGCTGTTAAAATCATCTTTTCATTTTGACCAGCTGCCAACTATGATCGCTAAACTAGCCAAAATAAAAATGGTTCTTCTTCGCTATGGCAACAAAACTGCAACTGTATGCAAAGTATTTCTAAGAATGGCCTTCTTTCTGCTCAGATGATGAGCTAATTACTTTTCCTTAAAGTCTGCATAGAGTAGGGACATCGCCTGCAACAAGGATTTCAGACCTACAGTATACTGTCTTGCATGTGTATAGGGATGCTGGGTGTGCAGCCTTCCCTCTTGCAACAGTTTGCAATGCAACATCGCAGAGTCCATTGCGGTGCGCTGTGGTAGGGCAGCCCATTCACTTGAATGGGCTGCCTACCGCAGCTTAATTGCACTGAAAGAAGTGCATGCATGTAATAGGTTACAATGCAATACGGTGTGACACAGCACACATGTGATGGCTAGGCGCATTGCACACCTAACATTGCAATATGCAATGCGGGATTGTGCACGGCATCACACGCACTCCTGCATTGCATAGATTTTAATGGATTCCTAGGCCCCATTCACACTAGTGCAATTTGTCCTGCATCTTCTGTCACACTGCACGAAAATATTAATTATATTATTCTTTTTTTTATTATTCAGTTTATTGAAGATTTTCCATGTTAAACAGCAAAATGAAAGTAGAAGGTACAAAACACCTAAATCAACAGTAATAGATGAGAACCATAACAGCAGCTAAAATCTGCCAACCAAAAGTAATGATAGTAACAACGAAAGGTCCCACAGCAGTCGCACATATAATACGTGTTGAAATATGGATAAAGGGTAAGTGGGAAAAGTTAAGAGAGAGGTAAGAGGTTAGATACAAAAGCAAGTCACATCAATGCAACATGGTGCAGTGAGAATTTTTGAAAGATGCTGGTGCTTCTTTTGGTGCTACAGAGCGTTTTTGGTTCCATAGACTTCAATGGGTGAGAATAATAAAAAGAATGTACAGTGGAATTATGTACATGTATTTGGTGCGTTTTTGTGCCCAAAGTCTCCTCGAAGGAAGATGGTGTCTAATGATGTCATAGTAGATATGCAATGTCATTGGACAGAAAAAAAATGTATGAAGCAGGAAAATGCATCAACTGCGTATCAAAATTTTTTAGTTGACCTGGAGAGACTTTTTTTTTTACCAGAAAAGCTATCCTGTTGTTTTGATAACTCAGCTATAGGGTAAGGTTGTCACCCATCCCAGTTTGCCAGAGACAGTCCCTGTTTTGACAAAGAAATGTCCCTGGTGCTGTAGTCCTCTGTCTGCATTTTTTCTTCTATATATGAATTATGTAGCTGCAGGTTTCTGTCCCTACCTTCCCTCTGCCTATCAGACCTGTGTAGTACGGAAGTCAAGGAAAAGTTTTAGAGCAACCCTTCCACTGTTAGCACAATTTGATCACAACCACCGTTCACTGTGGCAAGCCACATACGCCACATCATTGCTCTCCTCCGTGTGTCCAAGGGTGCCCCAAGTCTTTCAGAATCCTAGCAACGTCCCCGAGTCCTCTGCCATCTTGTGCTGATGGGTAGCAGTGTAAGGGATGGTGTTAGGAATCTCAGATGCCACCCGAATATGGAGCTGCTGTTAGTTGTGCCAGTTAAGCATGTGGGACATTCTTCTCTCTGGCCAGCTTACCTAGGCACTGCACAACCATTTAAACATTTTGGTGCTTTTTGGATGTAGGAACAAATGAGGAAATGATTTTGTGGGCATGGTAAAAAAATGGGCATGAGTGGTAGGGTTTTAATTTTATTGGGCCAATGAAATACAGCCCAATTCCAACTTCAAAATTCACAACTTCTTTGCTGGGATTTTATGGGATTATGGGAACATAGTCACCTGTCATCCCCAGGTCCTCTTCTTTCTGCATGGTTGTGGTTGGTCCTAAACATATCGACATGGCTTTGTTCTATGCAGCATTCTCCAGTGATCCCAGGGCAGCTTGATGAAGCACCCCCCAGGGACATGTCCTTGATGCCATTGGGTCACAGGAAATGGATTGAATGATGATGTGTCTCATTC